AAAAAAAAAGAATGAATACGATACAGGTCGTTTAACATTCAAGCTTCATTAATTGAATATTGCTCGATCTTGACACATTTTTCTTCGTTCTCATGGGTTTCATAAACAAAAAAAGAACGTACGTATTTTTTAATTCAAGGCTACCACTATATGAGCGATTCAACTTGAGGAATAAAGAACACACAAATAAGACGGTAGTATAAGAATATATTGAATGTGATTGATAAGTAGATATTCTTGTAGCAACCATACCCCATTGTATACATGAATTGTTTATTTTGTATATATCATAACTTGAGAAGTATTTAACAGCGAGTTACTTCTACTCTCTTGAGAATATCTGAATCGTTCAATTTATTGATAAATATCATTCTTTGTAGCATGAAACAAAATGAACATATTTTATATGAGTATATATAATCACACTTGAATTTTGATTAATCTGAAACAAACGAATATTTGTAGTTTATTTAACATGAACAGGAAATTATTGTTAATTTAGCATTTTAAAGCCATGTACCTTTGTAAAATATTAGAATAGAAATCTAATTAGATCCTAAAATCGTATGATCTATGAAAATATTTCTCTTTTCAAAAATCTTAATTCGCTTGTCTTTGTTGATTAAATAACATGATCAAATTTTTGTTTTCATCGCAATTTTTTTGAAACATATTCAAGAAAAATTAAATAGGTAAACACTACAACGACAACAACAAAGATATTTATTTATTTCACAAAAAAAAGAAAATGTTATATATCACCAAAAGCAATACGAGCAAAATTTTGCTATATGAGTTAAGCGAGATTCAGCCGAATGAAATATTATTTTTAGTCAAAGTCATTGTACATGCGATCTTTATTATAAACACTAATCGATTGATATAATACATACAGGATTAGTGCAGCAAATGCTATACCTAATATTAAAATATTTGAATTACTATTCGATTTTGCTTTGTCAGCTTTGGTTGACGATTGTTTTGTATCAGATCTACGTTGTTGCCGTTGTGATGTAGCCATTCTCTTCTCAAGAATTATAAGATCTGCAAATGACATATGAAATAATTGTAATTATATAGAAAAGAATAATCTTAAGAGAACTGAATATTTGAAATAGATATTCATAAAGGACATAATTGGTTAAAAGATATGTTATTTTATACGGAAAAGACAAAGTTAAAAAAATCTATTCTTACAATTGCGTTCTTATTTTTCTAAGTAAATAAATAAAAAATTTAAAGAGTTTTTTTCTATTCTGAATAGAATAAATTCTAATTTTCTACTACATTAACCGCAAATAAATTGATCTATACTTGAAAAGTAAGTGAATATCAAAATTGCAATTATAATGAAGTTAGATAAAATAAGAAACAAACAAAAATGAGGTTAGTGAATATCATAAATATGATTTAATACTAATATTAATGATTTTTTCGATTATTATGTTAATAATAGATGTAGTAAAGATTAAAAAAAAAGAAAGAATATGTTTATGTATTTACTCTAAAACTGTATGAATCAACTATTCGATTCAAAAATAGTCAATAAAGTTTATTTAATCGCTGAGTTTATTTGTTCAACGAAGAGTCTTTTTCATTTCTCTGTGTGTCAGCTTTAGGTAGTAGATTTGAAATAACCAATCAATATATAGCGATAGAATATATTTGAGTATATTATAATAAATCTTTTATTTAACTAAAAATGCTTATTATTCGAAAAATAATTCGTTTTTATTGCCATAGATTTTTGTTTTTTGATATATGTACAGATGTCGCTAGTGGCATTGATTTGTAGAAAGTTGATGAACGTCGAAATACTGAATGTGATTTCGGAGGTAAATTTGATGTAATGGCAAGAAGACTGTTTAATATCGATCGTTCAAATTCAAGACGTTTTGAATCATTTAAGGAAACATTTAATGCATGGAATTGTTGTAATCGACGTTCATAAACTAAACGAAGTAATTGTAAACGATGATCATTTACTAATCTATGCGATTGATTAAATAAATTTTCAATTTGTTCAGATAATGTTAATTCTATTTTCTAATATAAAGAAAACAAATAAAAGTTTAATAAGACAAAGAAAAATGAATATTTCATACATTTGGTTTTCGTCGTAAACTTGCTCGTAATTTATCAAATAGATGCATGATGACGAAACGAAAAGATTAATTGATGATGCCGTTATTGACAATAACGTTCATATAGATATATATATAGAAATCATCTTCGTTTGACTAATTAGTGATGAAATGAAGCTTTTTCTACTCAATTTATCTAATTAGTGAAACAAATTAGTTCATTTTGATGAAAGAAAACACTTCTATCTAAATAGATATTGATGCATCGCAATTCTATTGTATTATAGAGGTTAATATCAAGTTACCAAATTTCAAACGGAATCATGTAAAACCCATAATTTTAGAACTTGAATCTTGTTCTTCATATTTCTAGAGAAGTTTCATATATATCTAAATGTGATAGTCTTATGATGGGTTAGCTTACACTTGAGTTTTACTCCTAATTGGAATTTAGTAGATTCAAAATATTCTGATATACTCTTTATTCGTAGAAACTAAAGCATGTCAAGATATTTTATAAACACAATAGTTTTTTGCCATGCTTTTTTAGAGTTACTTGATACACTATTGAACAAAGCGTACTGCGAAGTGTATCAAAAGTTTTTCTAATTATCGGTAATCTGTACGTTTCATTATATCTGTCAAGTTTTAATACAAATTTAATGAGCAAATGATGTAAATTCTTCATCTGATCTATGTCAAAACAGTTTGATATAAATATAGATCAGCTTTAAATAACGAAGACCATGATAGCATATAGATTTCTGCATGACCTTTAAAATAATAGTAAAACTTTGTTTTCCTATAGCTCTGTAGGAAAAAATTCGCGTAACACTCGTACAAGCTGATATATTTTTCAAATATTTATCTTGGCATTCTACGAACATTTATTATTCTAAGAATGTACAATCTATATGAATGGGAGAAAAGAAAATTTTGATAGATATAATCAAGTCAACGTCGTTGTTCAGAATATGTTCGATCTTCAAATGCTTCATTGAGTTCACCATATTTAGATGCAACATATTTTGGATTGATAGCTTCTTTTCCAGTTTCAATATTTGGTTGTTTCATACCAAGTAAAAATGCAAGAATAGCAAGTATTAATATATTAAAAAATGCAATTATAGCTAATATATATGCCCATCGAACTTGACAAGTATCTATATAAAAATCATTAACATTAGATCCACATACAGATCGAATTATTTCATTATCAAAACCGGATGGATATATAATAAGAGCAATAAGTAAACAAATTGCACAAATAATTTGTATTAATGCACAAATAAAATAAACCAATCGAGCATTTATAAATAAGAAAAGTATAAATAATCCAAGACATATGAGAATAAGTAATGCTGAAAATCCAACAAAAAATGTAGCAACAGCAAATGGTGCATTAAGAATTGTTCCAAAATTAGTCCATGTTCCTTGACAATCAAAATCATAATCACTTATTGTACTTACACAATAAGAATATAAACCAAAATGACCTGCCCGAGGACTTGCTAAAGTATCACCAATCCATTGTGGTTGTACAAATACAAATATATTAATAATAGCAAAACAACCTGTCAAAAATGCCCAAACAAAACCAACCATTCTCCATATCCATTTAAATGATGGACTTGAATTTTGTTGAATTATCATTATTACCTATGATACAAGTAGATTATAAATGATTTATTTTACGTTTGTACTTACTATGCAATTTGCCTTCGTTAATCCTTACTATTTCGATTTCCTCATTCGGTTCATTGTCCTTCGTATCTCACTTTGCACGTGTTTAAAAGATCTATGCATTTAAAATTTGTTGTATAATGAATGAACGAGTTTATCGAGAAAAGAAAGAACGAATGACAAAAATGTTATTCTTCTTTTCTTACATTGTTTGGTTTATAATGACATTTTAAATATTCACTAGTCGAAAAGTTCAGGGATTTTCTATTCATAATTGAATTTAACAAAATAAGATGTAAAAAAATAATGAAGAATATGCATACTATTAGTAATGACAAAACAAATTTATTCGTAGCTTATCATAAGATGTTTATAAAAGAAAATACATACATAATAACGAATAAGATACAAGTAACGCTCTTTCTTGTAGAAATGCATCCTCTTCACATTTACTGAAAAATTAATTTTCGACGTTTTTTTGACCCTACGGACACACAAGCAGACAATTTATGTTTACTGGACTCTTCTCTACGAGAAAGAGAATAATATATCGATCTTTGTTCTATCAATTTTGGAGACATAAGTCCTCAATCAAATTATTCGATTCAACAAATACTATCTCATTGCTAATCAAACTAGTGTAACTTCATCACTTATTATTATTCATTTATTCGCTCATGGTAAGAAAACTATGATTTCTGTATGGATATACATGTGGTTATGACGTAAATGAAACATTATCAATATCAACTAGGTGAAGTTAATATTCTGATTTATCATAAGCAATTAAACGAATGGTAAGAAAATCTTCAGTACATCAAACATTATTAATTCTTTCAAAAAAGAAGCATTTTATTTCATTTTTCACTTATAAAAGAAAGTGACCACTTCAGAATAGTTTCTAGTGATGCATGTGAATTAAATATTATTGATTCGGTACATTTTAACAGTATACAAGTCATGAAAGACGGTTGAACTTTACAATGTCCGTTGATGATTTTGGAATAAGTCCACTTTATGTTAAGACATATTATGTAAATAATAACTAAGCTTTAAAAAGACCTTTTGAAATTGAACTTCATCACAGCATGCTACATTATAAAAATCATCTTGATATAAATGTGTAATATTTCATCGAATACTTTGCTTATATATGAGCCGATACATTTCTATAAGTATATGATTTGACACATAAAGTATCGTATTCTTGTGAAACTTAGTATAATCGATCAGGTTATTATGTCTTGAATGACCTCTAATCATCGATTCGATTTGCATTGTTAATCTTACATCTCTATAAAATGTAAATGATGTTTTGTTAAGGAGAATACAATAAAATGTATAAAACTAATGAGAATATAGGATCACTCATTAAAAATATTCTCAATAACGATTATGTTATCATTTCACTGAAATTGTCTGTATTATCATTTTGATAAAGTTTAAAATAACTATTCAACAATTAAAACTGAATAAAATAATATTTGAATACATAGAAGTTTTTCTTTATGAGACTAAAAAAAACAATTCATAAAAATGTTATTCTATTCAAAAATACATTATACAAATCGAAGTGAGTTCTTCGACAACATAGATCAATATTTTCATTTGATACAAATAAACTTTTGTCAAGAATTTGTTTTTGTATATTTATCAAAAAAAAAGAATGTTTAGAGTTATTGGATGATGAATTGTATTTAGATATGTAATTATTTTGGTATTAAACAAATGTCTATGACAATTTCTATATTTCTTTATTCTCAACTATAAACTATGTGAGATGTGGTGGTGCTCGGCAACCGACGACACATACACATATATTCACATAGAGATGTTGATCAATTTTTTGTAACAATCATTTTCAAATTTATTTTTTCTTTCTTTTCTTTTCTTTTTACTCGTGCCTTATTTCTCAGTTTGAAGAATAGAAATAAATCTTGTCGGCAAACACCTCAATAATAAGTGTTGAGATCTGATTTCATCAACAAAGTACACACACGCTTGTGCAGTCACAAAAATATTTATAGAGACACAAAAAGGCAAAGAGAATTATCATAGAAAAAAATGGCGGATTTGCATGCTTTAAGAACGATACTACATTCTAAAAGTATTGATGCCAAGACTATCAAACCATATACCGGCTTTCACTACAACTCGAAAGGTAATAAAAAACATTTATTTATTTTTTTTTGAGACAGAAAATGAGCAAATACATAAATTAATTGTTATTATTTATTTCTATTTAGGTGATTTCATTTTGTCGACACCATCACTTGAATCATATCGTGTTAATAATGATCCAATGTATCGATATGAAGGTGGTATGCATAAGACTCTTCCTAGCGAATTGGATAATCGTATTTTATCATATAATGCACTTGAACTTCGCCGTTATCAGTCTCTCCGAATGAAACAACCGGATTCACGTTATGTAACTCGTATTTTTGAAGAACGATGTAAGTTTATAATTTAATTTAACGTTTCATATATATATATATGTACATATTTTCTTTCTAGTTGGTCAAGCTTCTACGCCACGTTCTGAACCAAAACGAACAATTCGAGTTAATAAAGCACCTGGCTATCGATTACTTTTAGATCGAATTGCAAATCAAGATCAAACTATGGTTTCACAACGTTTTAATAAATTAAGTCCATTCGTTACAGAATTCGGAAATAATCCTAATGCCGATCCTGTTCTTCGATCACTTGCTGCAACTTAAACTCCTCCCTTTTCTTTTTCATTAAATTATTTAAATACGTATTGAATTGAATAAATAAACTTCTTGACAAGCAAACAATATTTTACTCTTTTATAGAAAATATGTTTCTTTAACAAAACATCATCAGTTATTTGTAATATGAAAAAAATATGTATTTTAATAGAATAAATTCAGATTTTGAATTTTTCGATGAATAATCGCAATATAAAATATTACACTTGAATAGCAGATTTTAATTTCGAAGCAGAAAAACAAATATTATGCTACATTCTTTATGTTTTTGTTCATATTTTCGTTTTATGTATTTCTGTACTTGATTATCTGACTTTAATAATACAAAAAATATATATCTTGCTGCTTTTAGTGTGATTACCTAAAGAAAAAGATTCCATTAAATAGAACAACACAAAGACAAAATAGTTGTTTTTTATTGCTATCTCTATAACAACTAAAATACCTTGAAAACATAAAAAGAAAGAGAAAAAAAACGACAAAGAATCTATCTACTGATTGTAAATATATGAAATACTTGACAATCAGTGTTTATCACCAATAAAAGGAAGAAATAAAATAACTAGTTGTTATTTAATTCTTTTTTTCATAAGTTCTACTGAAATATTTCAATTTTTCGTCTGGATTTGGAATAATTGTATCAGCACCGGG